TGCCCCAAAGCCGATGTGACATGCTTCACCAGTGACGGTTCGAGTTCGGTGAGCAAGTCCGCACGAGGTGTCATGCTGTAGGTAGCGCCGCTATCGATCACCCAATAGTCCAGGGAGTGTAGGTTCATCTTCCCCACAGCAGCAGGCTCCTCAAAGCTTTCATCCTTTTCTGGTGCAGCCGGTGCTTGCGTCGACACAAAGAATAATTGACCCGGAAAGCGATCGTCCCTCGACTCGCTCTCGTTGCCGGACTCTTCATACTTGCAGCACCACCTCCGCGACTGCCACGGCCTCTACGGCCTCTTCCTCTCCCTCCTCCTGCTCCTCTACCCTCTTGGCCTTGAGCAGGAGTCCATCCATCAAGGAGCTTGTAGCAATCGCGCCACATATGTCCGCTCTTGTGACAATAGTGGCACTCGCCGTCGAATCGGCCAACGAGCAGCCATATGTCCGCGACCGCGTCCGTAGCTCTTGTTGTCGCTGCCGTATCCGCCACTCCCGCGGCCTCCATTGAAGTTGCTGCCTCCAAACCTTCCTCCTCCTTGTCCTCTGCCCCTTCCACGGCCATATCCACAGCCGATGCTTGCTGCCCCGGCGCCATCCGCACTCGCCAACTCACGGCGGCGGAAGTCCTCTTGAAGGATCGCTCGCTTCACGTCTTCAAGCGAGAGGCGGGGCAAGTCACGATTGAGGTTGATGATGAGCGAGGACCATGACTCTGGGAGTAAGGCCAGCAACTTGGTTTTCTTTTGGAGCTGACTGTAGTTCAAATCAGCTCCCTTAAGCCGCGTCAACAAGTCGAAGAATTTCTGCACCCCTTCTTCAACCGCTTCGTCTTTTTCAATTCGTAGTGCCGCCATTTGCCGTTCCAACACCACCGCCACCGCCGCTGTTGTAGGACCATGTACACCCTTGAGAGCAGCCCATGCCTTTGGTCCCTTCTCTGGTTCACGCTGGAATGGCTTGATGTGACGGATCTGGCTGCTCCTCAACGCTTGCCCAAGTATGAGATAGCCTTGTGCGCTCTTCCGCACCCACGGGCTCTTCTCCGGGTCGTTCTCGGGGCGTTTCTCTGTTCCTTCCATCACCTCCAGCAGGTCATAGTGGTCAAATACATTCTCCATTCTAAAGGACCATTCAGCAAAGTTGTCGCCATTGAACGTGTCAAGCCCAAACACCCTAGGCTCATCCCTAGGTGGGCCAAGACTTGGTTGCACGGGCGCTATGGCTGAATCACGGGGTTGGCCTTGAGCTTGGACTCCTCCACTGCCACCAGCACCTCTGCCACCCCTTTCCTCAGGTCCAGCCATTGTCGAAATTGCTCCAAACTCGCTCTGAGACCACTTGTTACAGTCACAATAGGCTTGAATGTGCTTAAAACGAAAGATGGATTGCACAGTCGGATTTCTGCACAGCGCCTTCAAACGATGATAGCGTTCTGGTCACAGCTTCAAATGACCTGATCCAACTTGGATCTGGAGCGTCTTAACGTCGCCTACACTAAAACTTTTAGATTGCACGATTTCATTAAGAACTGAGGACACAGCGTTGGTTTGAACGAACGGTACTATGGCAGCCACTATAGTCTTAGAACACAAGATAGAAAGAGTTACGAGTTGGGAATGACTCCCAGCTCCTACAAACCCCAAGATCCAAGGTACAGTGATGTGGAATAGTGCCACACTGTCCCCAACCACGAAGGGTCTCGAAACTACCCTCCACAAGGGCCTACACCAAGGGAAATGTTACACTACACAAGGTAATGTAACTATTCTCACTATCTTGAAGTTTACCCTTTTGGATAGCTTCAAAATCACTTGAATCTTGAAACCAAGGCTCTGGTTCTTCAAGGTAAATTCTTCCTTGAGTTCTTGGAAGTCTGCTGCGCACACCTGCGACACGCGGAACGTTCCACACACGACAAAATAGAGAACCGCACACAACACGCAAACGACGACGTGACACGCGACTAGCGATAACTCGCTATTGACTCGACACACACATTCAAAATCATGCCTCATCATTCACACACTATTGTAAGCATGAAATATATATTATCTCATGCACTCATACCATTCCATGCACACACGCATGCACGCATACGGACAACAAGCCGAATGTAAACCGTAGGGTTGCACCAACATCCCAGTGGAGAGCTGCCATGGACTCAGAGATGGCCTCCTACAGATCCACAGGCACCTACGTCGACGAGGTTCCCCCCCTTGGGGCGAACGTACTCGATGGCATGTGGATCTTCAGGGTGAAGCGGCCACCGGGATCTCCTCCGGTCTTCAAGGCGCGCTATGTGGCTAAAGGTTTCAGTCAGCGCGAGGGAGTTGACTTCTTTCATACCTTCGCGCCTACCCCGAAGATGACCACTCTTCGGGTGTTACTGCACGTAGCAGCACAGAGAGACTACGAGTTACACTCTCTTGACTTCTCCACTGCTTTCCTTCAGGGTAGCCTACACGAGGAGGTTTGGTTACGTCGTCCCTCTGCCTTCACTGGCACTTTCTTTCCTGGGACCCAGTGGAGGCTTAGGCGACTGGTCTACGGTCTCCGTCAGGCTCCTCGTGAGTGGCACGACACCCTTTGCTCTACCCTTTCTGACCTTGGTTTCCAGCCTTCTTCTGCCGACCCATCGCTGTTCGTTCGTCGTGGCTCCACACCGTTCTTTGTACTGGTCTACGTCGACGACCTGGTTTTTGCCACTGCTGACAGGGTTGCTTTGGCTGACGTGAAGCTCGAACCGCAGAAGGGACACACTTGCACTGAACTTGGTGAGCTGCGCCACTACCTTGGCCTGCAGATCACCAGGGACAGAGCTGCTCGCACCATTACACTCTCACAGTCACACATGGTGCAGTAGGTCCTTCAGCGGTTCGAGCTTTAGCACTCTACTGTACAGCGCACATCTCTTGCCATTGACCACAGTCTCACCAGACCCTTTCCTGACGAGCTGTTCGAGCCTAGTGGTCCTTACGCAGAGCTTGTGGGCTGCCTCATGTACCTGATGACTTGTACTCGTCCGGACCTCGCCTTTCCTCTCAGCATTCTTGCTCGCTTTGTTGCGCCAGGGAGACACCGTCCAGTTCACTGCACAGCTGCTGTGAGGGTGGCGAAGTACCTAGCGACGACATCAGGCGTGGGGCTGGTTCTTGGAGGGAGACAGGACGTCGTGCTTACTAGTCACTGTGACTCTTCTTACACTGACAATGCCGAGACGCACAAGTTTACTCAGGGGTACTGTTTCAGCCTGGGCTCTGGAGCTGTTTCGTGGAGGTCCACATGTTCCTCATTGGTCTTGACCTCTACTGCTGAGGTCGAGATCTACGCTAGAGCTATGGCTACACAGGAGCTACGCTGGCTGACGTTCTTGCTCACTGACCTTAGTGAGCGGCCGAGCTCTGCGCCGACCTTGTTTACTGATAACAAGGCGACGATTCTCCTCTGTCGAGAGCCGCGACTGGAGAGCAGAGTGAAGCATATTAACGTCAGGCACTTTCTTCTGCGAGAGTTGCAGAGGCATGGACAGGCTCGTTTCGACTTTGTTGAGTCCGATGCCAACATTGCAGACATCTTCACCAAGGCCCTGCCGCCTTGTGACCACGAGAGGTGTTGTGTGCAGTTAGGTCTTGTTGACACAGGTTCTCGCCTTGCATAGTCTTGAGTTCTCTCCTTGCTTTGTTTATACACTTTACATATACCTCAGTGAACTCTTGCACTAGCCTTGTGGCTCTTTTGCTTGTGCTCGGATTGTGTGGTGACGTTGTGATCCACCCTAAGCTTTGTTTCTTTGTGACTGGTCTTGTGACCGTACACTTTTGGTTTTGCTTGACACCCCTTTCTTTGACTATGGGGGTGTGTCAAATGTTGTAGCCTTAGTGATGTGTGTTATAGGGGGTACAACTGTTAGGGTTAAGTTTATGTACCCCAACCAACCTTAGTGAAACCAACACATTCATTCTTGACATGCTTGTGCCGGCTGCGGGAGATGTGTTCCGTCGTGCGCGTTTCGCCGGCCATGCTCGACTAGCACACATTGGCGTCGAATTGGTCGATCGAAGCTGCTCGACTATGAAACACAGCATGTGCGCGAACTTCGCCCAGGAGGTTTTGGTAGAGTCGAATTGCGGAATGGCATCACCTGCTCGACGGTGAGCACCTGTAAAAACCATCAACACGTGTTCTACCTGGCACCTACGCAATGTGCAGCAGTCCCACCTGCACCTACCGGGCAGGTGACGCACATGTGCGCACATGTTCACATGCAAATGCAGTGCTTGCAGACCAATTTGGGTGCAACAATGGCAGACCACCCTGGTGTAGTGTTGGCAAGCCGCTCTTCTGCTAAGTTGGCAAGTCACTCTGCAGAATGTTTGCTAGGTGTTGCAATGCCTTCCTTTCTACATGGACATGCATGCCTCATTGTTCTCTATTATTCAATCCAATTTCTTAGTGAAACTCTTGCCCATTTCCCCCGTAAACATAAGATGCATAAGTGCTAGCAATGCTTCGATCACCTCGTAGCTACTCCCATTATCGAGTGATTCTCTGCATATAGCACACCTCTCCACCCCCTTTCTTCCCCGCCATACTACCTCTCCAACTTCCTCCCCGCCATTCTTCCTCTCTAGCTCATGCCATCAGCTATAGCTCACACCATTGGCTATATCTCACCATCTGGCACAAATCCACAGCGTTGATTAGCAGTAGCTGATATTAATCAGCGGTGTGCGCCTTATTTCAAAGCCCCTTTCCCAACCATTAACTTCCAGTCACTTGTTAGTTAAAAAAATATATCAATCTGACCGTTGTCATGATGCACCCAGCGGCCAACACTCTGCTCCGCGCATCCTGCTCTCTGGCTTGATCGTCATGATGAGCAATGCGGCCACTTCGCCGATGGATGCATTGAGACGATCTTCCCGCTGTTACGTTGCACAATGCGGCCACCCCGCTTCTCCGCGCATTGTGTCGATCAGGCCGCCATCGTCGAAATGCTCCAAGCGGCTAGCCCGTCGGTGGGCGCATAACGCCGATCAGGCCGCCGCCGCAATGCTCCCTTTTCATCCTCTCTCGTCCGCTCATCCCTATGTTCCCCTCTATTTCCCTTAGGACGCGGTAAGAGCAGACGACCGATCTTCTGTTACCCGATTTACTGACGTGTATCCATGCTACAGTAACGTTTCTGTCAATAAATAGTGCACAGTAAGGGAATGTGACTGATCATTGATTGCTGGAGATGAACCCCAAATGTAGTGGCAATCGTTACAATGGCGTTTGCGCATCGTTTCGCCAATCGACCTGCTAAATCGATCGTGTGACTCGATATACGGGCACGATCCTGCGATATTCGCACTGGAAGGAGAGGTACTGTAAGGACACGGAAAGAGGACACTTTTACCACGTCCTTACAGTCCCTCTCCTTCCATCTCCTCCTATTTCATTGTCAGACTGTCACCTTCTTTCAAACTCTTTCTTCCTCTGTTTCTTCCTTCTCATCCCCTTTCATTATTTCTCATCCCCTCTCCTGCTCTCTATTCCCCTCTAGCTTTCTCTCATTCCCCCTCCACCCCTCTCATACTCTCTCATCCCCTTTCATCCTCTCTTATCCCCTTTCATCCTCTCTCACCTCCTTTCATACCCTCCATTCCTCAACTCGTCCCCTCTTAATCCCGCCCATTCCCTCTATTCCCCTCTCATCTTCGCACAATCCCTCTCATCCCCTCTCCTCCCCTTTCATTCTCAAACTGGCACCCTCTTTTCAAACCCTTTCATCCACTCATTCTCATATTCATCCGTTATCCTTCCCGCATATCCCCTGAAATCCCCTCTATTTCCCCCTTATCCCCCTATTTTCCCATCATCCCCTCTTTTCCCCTCTCGTGCTCTCTCCTCCCCAATCAATCCCGCTTTGTTAAATTCAAACCCACCCCAGCTCTCTACTCCTCTATCATTCCCCCTCCTCCCCTCTCATGCCCTCTCATCCCCTTTCATGCTCTCATTCCCCTCTGGTGCTGTCATTCCTCTCTCATTTCCTCCTATGCACTCCCATCCTCATTCACCCTCTTTCAACAACTCTCAACCCTTCCCATCCCCCTTACTCCTTTCCCTTCCCCCTGCCTCCCCTCTATTTCCCTCTCATCCCCTCTCGTCCCTGCCCTGCTCTCTCATCCTATTCCCCTCTCGTTCCATCTCATCCTCTCTCATCCTCTCCCGTCCCCTCTCCACGCCCCATTCCCCTCTCATTCCCTCTCATCCCTGTTCATCCTCTCTCGTTCCCTCTCCTGCCCTCCTATCCCCTATCAGATGTCTCATGCTCTCTCATCCGCTCTCCTGCCCTCTATTCCCCTCTCGTTCCCTCTCATCCTCTTTCTTCCCATCTCTTCCCCTTCAATCATTTCGTGTCTTCTCTCCTGGCCTCTAATCCCTCTCATACCATGTCCTCCCCTTTCACCCCCTTTCAACCCCTTTGCACTCTGTTCAGGGTTTCCCTCACCTTCCCTCTCTTCCCCTCTCATCCTCTGTCACTCAGTTTCATCCTCTCTCGTCCCCTCTCCTGCCCTCTATTCCCCTCATTTTCCCTCTGATTCCCTCTCCTAACCCTGTCATCCACTTCCATCCCCTCTCATCCCCTATCTTACCCTCTTTTCCCCTCACTTCCCCTCTCATCTGTTATGTGATACTATCATTTGCATTCACGTCTGTCTGCCTCCCATCATATGTTCGTGCGTTGCATGCGTGGTGTGAGCAAGAATCTGTGTTTGGTGTGGTTTGGATTTTCTGAGTGTGTATGTGTGTATGTGAATGTTATTTGGCTTGGGCAGATATCTGAAGTGACTTCTCTGCTCAAGAGATTTCTGACGAACCAAGAATCATCGCGATCGAAGCAAGAACAAGAAAGATATGATCGTTCGAAGTTTTTTTATTGTGATGCACCGACTATGGGAATTTGCTGGTTGACTCAATATGGGGTACATACTTTTGGGGGTTGGGAAATTCTTCACCATCACTGTAGATGATGCCAAGTGGTTGGGAGAAGACAAACCAGGTTGGCAATGGTGGCCAAGTTGGGTGAGGTGGATTGTCACAGGATCGAATTTCCACTCGAGAATGTTGCACTAAAGGTGAGTACAAGGCGTATTTATACTCAGAAATACATAGAAACAACAGATAATCCGAACCTTCGGGAACGCGCTCTTCTAGAATAGATAATCACAAGTGCGCATAAGCACGCAAGCCCATTGGCACTTCGGATTATGGCGAGATTACGCCTTGTACACCACTGTCGGTGCTGTCGGTGCCGTATAATGTAAATGTCGGTGCCGAAAATACCAAATAAGTGAAATAATCAGAAAGCTCTAGAAAATAGAATAGTAGTCCGATTGAGGTGAAATAAAGTGCAAATGAAAGAGGAAAATAAGGAGAATAAGATGGAGTAAAAATATGGAAATGAGAAATATGTCGAACGTCGGCGTACTCTCACACTTCCCCCCCTCAAAGCCGGGTGGTAGTCACGGAGAGAACGTCGGGCGTTACTCATGTCTTCTTCAGAGACCCAGCTGTCCTCAGAAGGATCATAGCCTTTCCAGCGTACGAGAAACTCCAGGGCGCCATGCCGAGGACGACGATGTGCAAGCACAGATTCAACTACGTACTCAAGTTCATCATTCACGAGGTCTGGAGGCGACGGCGGAGGTTGGCGTCCTGTGTACAGCTTATTTGGATCTTGATAGGGTTTAAGAAGCTGCACGTGGAAGGCGTTATGAATCTTCCAAGAAGCTAGTAGGCGCAAGCGGAATGTGACTGGAGTGACCTGCTCTTCTACGAGGAAAGGTCCGCAGAAGCGAGGTCGTAACTTGGATGGAAGGTGACCGAGGTTGAGGTTGCATGTGTCGAGAAGCACATGGTCACCAACTGCAATGGTATGATCACGTCGATGGCGATCGGCCAAGCGTTTCTGTGAAGACTGTATGTCCTGTAGACGCTTGTGTGTTCGATCCCAAAGCTGCTGCATTGTGGTAACGAAGTCGTGCGCGGGTTGGACAGTTGCAGGTACTGTCGGCTGTTGTGGAGTTAGTGGATGTCGTCCGTAATAGAGGAAAAATGGGGTCTCTCCTGTTGCGGCATGCTTCGCATTATTGTAGGCGAACTCCAACACCGGCAAGTGCAAGTCCCACTTGTTAATGTCGTCCTTGCACGCTGCGCGCAAGAGTTGTTCCACAATTTGGTTCAAGCGCTCTGTCTGCCCATCGGTCTGGGGATGATATGCAGATGACATTGCGAGGCGTGTCCCCATGAGCGATATGAGCTCTTTCCAGAACTTGCTAGTAAACTTGGGGTCCCTGTCGGATATGAGGGTTGTTGGGATCCCGTGCTGTAAACCGGTGATGAAATCCAAGCTGACCACTTGCCAAGGCTGTTCCGGGACGGGTAAAGGCTGAAGAAGTCCTGCTTTCTTCTGCTTACTGCTTTTCATCCGCTGGCACGTGTCGCACGAAGTGGCAAACTTTTGCACGTCGTTTGCCATGTGAGGCCAGTAGTAGACTTTCGCAATCCCGGCAAGAGTCTTGTTACTCCCGAAGTGTCCAGCGTAGAGCACGTCATGGAATTCTTTGAGAAGCAACTGCCGAAGAGGCGGGTAGTTGGGTACCCATATCTTTGTTGATCCTTTGCGTAGTGCGACGTCGTGGTCCCACTACAACAATTTCTTTTTCTCTGCTAAGGGAATCTCGGGGTCGATGGTATACCCGTGCGTGAAGAGTCCCTTGAGTAGCGGATTCATCCCCTCCATCTGTATGGCAGCAACGTGTCCAGGCCGGCTCAGTGGGTCTGCCTTATTCTTGTGTCCCGGCTTGTACACGATGTCGTAGTCGAAGTGCGTCTCGAGGAAGTCAATCCACCTGACTTGTCGTCTGGAGAGGGTCGGCTGCGTTTTCAGGTACTTTAGGCTGCAATGGTCAGTGTAGACCGTGGTCTTTCTCCCTTTGAGGTAGCATCGCCATGTCTTGAATGCGGTGATGATCGCTAAGGCCTCTTTGTCGTGAATCAGGTAGTTGAGTTCTGCCCCGTGCAATTTCTGTCAGAATGTTGTATTTGTCTAGCCTGCAGTGGGGTACTCTATAGCGAGTACAGCCCAATCTAGGGTTTCCTATATGTACTCAACTGCTTGCTAGTGAACCCCCTCCTTTCTTCATTCTTACTTTCTACTGCTAGTTCTGACATGTTATCAGAGCGAAGGTCTCGGGTTCGAATCCCAGTGTGTGCACTTCGGGCATCCCAGTGCGGGGGGGTGTCAGAGGTCCACTGGTGATCCCCGATTGATCATAGGGAAGGGTTACAGGCTCGTTGTCCTGGGGGGTTATGGGCGCACTGACCCGCTACTTAACAAGCCCTTTTATCCCAATGGTCTAGTGGTTGGGATTCTGACATGCTATCAGAGCAGGTCGATCCCCTTGGGTCGATCCTGTGGGTGGGCCCACCACCTCACTGCTTCCGCTGCTACTGCTACTCTGTGTGTTGCACGCCCCGTGGCGTGCGACGGATTTTTCATCCCGCCGCGCGCTCGGAGCGTGCGGCGGTTTTCTGCCCGCCGTGCGCCCCGAGGCGCGCGGCGGTTTTCTGCCCGCCGTGCGCCCCGAGGCGCGCGGCGGTTTTCTGCCCGCCGTGCGCCCCGAGGCGCGCGGCGGCTTTCTGCCCCGTCACTCCGCGCGTCGCTCCCGGGAGGCGCTACGACAGGCGACGGGGACCCGCGCGTCGCCCCCCGTCGCCCGTCGCGGCCTGCGCGACCTGCGTAGGGCCCGCGCGCGGCCCGTACAGCCTGCGCGCGGCCCGTACGGGCTGCGCCAGGCCCGCGCGCGGCCCGTCCGGGCTGCGCCAGGCCCGCGCGCGGCCCGTACGGGCAGCGCCAGGCCTGCGCGCGGCCCGTACGGACTGCGCCAGGCCAGGGCGCGCCTCGGGCCGCCTGCACGCGGTTCGTACGGGCTGCGCCAGGCCCGTGGGCGCCCTGTTTTCTCTGCCCCTGCGCTGCCCACTGTCCCCCGTGCTTCTGACGGCGCCCCACCCTTGCTGCTGCCCGTTCTCCTGAATTAGGGTTTGGGGGTGGGGGGTATGGGGGTGCAGTTTCTGTGCGTCGTCCCCTACTCCTCCTCCTCCTCCGTCTCCCAGTGCTGCAGCTGCCGCTGAGGGGGGTGGGTGTGTGGGAGCCGAAGGAGTGGTACTAAGGGGGTGACATGCAAGTGGAGTTAGGAGTGAAGCTGTGGGTGTGTGGGGGGTGAGTGGGACAGTTGGAGGAGGTTGAGCGGAGGCTGCTGTCTTGTCGTCCGCAGCACCTGTAGTCCGGGGCGCACTGTCCTGGTAGCCCAGAGTGTCTGCTGCGCCTGTCGCCCGAGGGTCCGTTGCTCCTGTAGCTTGTCGTAGCCCGTGAGCCAGTTACTCCAGTAGTCCGGGGCGCATTGTCCCGGTAGCCACTGTGCCAGCAGCTCCTGTTGCCCGTGTGTCTGCAGCTTCAGCCGTCGTCTCTCATCTTCTCTCCTCTCACAGTCCCTCCTCCTCCTCACTTGCCCGCTGTGATTACCTCTAGCTTTGCTTCTTATTGTGAACTCCTGCTATACCTGCTCATTGTGCTGATTACACCCCACTTTGGCTATGGGGGTGTGTCAGAATGTTGTATTTGTCTAGCCTGCAGTGGGGTACTCTATAGCGAGTACAGCCCAATCTAGGGTTTCCTATATGTACTCAACTGCTTGCTAGTGAACCCCCTCCTTTCTTCATTCTTACTTTCTACTGCTAAATCTGACAATTTCTTGCTGAGGTAAGCGATTGGTTGTAGTCCTTTCCCTTGGTCTTGCATCAAGACTGCTCCAACTGCTTGGTCGCTAGCGTCAGCTTCGATGACGTAGTCTTTTTCTGGATCTGGCAGGATCAGGACGGGTGCGGACGTGAGTGCGGTCTTCAACTGCTCCATGGCTTGCTGGTGCACATCCTCCCACTTGAACGGTGTATTCTTCTTCAGTAGATTGGTGAGAGGTGTTGCAATCTTCGCATACTGTGGCACGAACCGATTATAGTAGTTCGCAAAGCCAAGGAATTGCTGAAGTTCCTTCACGTTCTCCGGTGTCTTCCACGTACGTACGGCTTCGATCTTCTTTGGGTCGACATGGACTCCTTGAGCGCTCACCATGTGTCCAAGGAACTGAACTTTCTTCAAGGCAAACTCGCTCTTGGATAGCATAACGTAGAACTTCTCCCGTCGAAGTATCTCGAAGACACGTCATAGGTGTTCGATGTGCTGCTTCATGTCCCTCGAGTAGATCAGGATGTCGTCCAGGTACACCACCACGCATTCGTCGAGTAGAGGCCTAAGAATATGGTTCATTTCCGCCTGGAATGTAGCGGGTGCGTTGGTGAGTCCGAACGGCATGACGAGGTACTCGTAGGATCCGTATCGTGTCCGAAACGCTGACTTATGGATGGAGTTATCCGCCATCCGGATCTGCCAATATCCCGATCTCAAATCGAGTTTTGAGAATACTGTGGCTCCACGAAGCTGGTCAAGTAGATCGTCGATCTGTGGAATCGGATACTTGTTCTTGATCGTCTGCTTGTTGAGGGCTCGGTAGTCGATGCACATGCGTAAGCTTCCGTCAGGTTTTGGTGTGAAAAGCACTGGTGCACCGTATGGTGATGTTGATGGTCGAATGAGTCCTTTGTCCAGAAGGTACTCGATCTGCTTCTTCATGTCGGCCAACTCGGTAGGGCTGAGTCGATATGGTGCTCGGAAGGTCGGTTTTGAACCAGGTTCTTCGATGATCTCGTGCTGGTGGGTTCGGTATGGCGGCAACTGGTCTGGAAGGTCGTCAGGGAGAACGTCTTCGAACTCTTCTAGAAGTTTCTGGATTGCTGGTGGAAGCTCGAGCGTTTTTCTCTCTCCTTCGTCCTCGTTGGTAACCAGTGCAACAAACCCTGCCATGGTTCACTTCACGTCCTTCTCGAAGCGTGCAAGAGTCTCCTCCGGAATATCTCCCGTGTTGCTCCAATTCGGAAGAGGAACTCTTCTGTCTTGATTGTAAATACTTGCCATGCGGGTGACCCAGTTGATCTCGGGGTTGAACTTCTTCAGAAAATCTCTCCCAAGAATCAAGTCTAGCCCTTTGATGTTGGTGACGGGTAGGGTCGGTTTTCAGCGAAGAGGACCCATCTGCAGGTGTAACGCTGCTTCGCCGTAGACTTGTAATTTGCTTCCGTCAACCATCGTAGCTGTGAAGTTTGAAGGCGTGTACTTCTCATTGATGCGTTCGAGGGTTGCTTTGTCGCATACTGAATGGGATGCTCCGCTGTCCATGAGTGCTTGGAGGCGTCGTCCATTGCAGATCACCTCGAGCAAAAGTGGTTGGCGTTGCTCGTTGTACCCGTTGATCGTCTCGTTGATTGGATCATAGGGTATTTCCCATAGCTCTGTGTTTTCTCCTGGGGTGGCAGATGGCCGGTCCTGCCGTTCCCTATTGCCATGATTTTTCGTTGTCGTCGACGACGTGGTTCTCGAGCTCGTAGTAGAATTCATAGATGGGGTAGATATCGTAGATGTTTCAGATGTTGCAGATGCATCTGTAGAGGAGGTTTGAGGTCGTCGCAGCTTCATGTTGACCTCCAGCTCCCTCTTGAGCTGCTTCAGCGCCACCGACTTCTTCCGTGGGGACCGGTTGGTCGACGTGGGCTGTTTTTTCAGAGAGAGGACGATGTCGTCGTTGGAAGGTCGATCTTCCATGCTCCGTTGTTGGTTCCCCATGCGCAGCTGCTGTAGTTTTCGTACCGGTACATTCTTTTTCTTCTGGAGCCTCTCTCGTGATTTCACAAAGGCCGTAGACCCAAGGGAATTTTTTCCAAGTAAAGCATCCTTGTATGATATTTTGAAGGGGTGCTTACTTTTTACAGGGCCTTTTTGGAGTTGTCCGGGTCCAGCAGGGTCTTATGTCGCGGAGATTTTATTTCCCTCGGCGATTTTCCCTGGTAGAGTCCGTTCGTGGTTTGAAAATTTCACTCCACGATCCTCCAATATTCGCATTAAATCTGCTCCACTGCTGCGGTCCCTAAGCGCTGAACGTGCAATTTTCATTTCGTCACAATCAATGAGTCGATGTCCGGGCTTGCCGCAGAAAGAACGCTTAGATTTGTTCTTCTTTGGTCTTGCCTTCGCGTCGATTCGATCGAGTTCCATCGGGTCGGCGTACGTGGGGTTAGCCAAGCGTCCTCCATGTCGTCTAGCTCGTCTATGAAGTCGTCGTGTTCCGATCGTGGTTACGTCGAAACGTTCCGCTGCCGAAACGACGTCGTTGTAGCTGCTCCAATTTGCGGCCGCAACATGTTGTCGTGTTTCTTTTTTCAGCCCCGCGATAAATGCTCTAATTTTTTCGCCTTCCGTGACGTCGGGTATGCGGTTGAACAACTCCTCCATTTGTTGCGTGTAGTTCGCGACACTCCCGATTTGTCGATGACGATGTATTTTGTCGCGGGCGATAAACGCTGCATTAATCGGCTCAAAACGTTGTAGTAATCGTTCTCGGAACTGCTGCCACGTCGCTTCACCTTGGTTTAATAAACCGCTTCCGCTTATCCATTCAATTGCTGGTCTGCGCAGTAGTGTTGCTGCAAAATTAATTCTGTTTCTGTCGAGTGCTGGTGCTGTCCATCCAATGGCGGCGAAATAAATTTCGATCGCCAAAAGCCAGCGACTAGCGTCAATTTCCCCATCAAAGGTGTTGGGGGCTCGAATTTCTTGGGCCTTGGGAAAATTTCGCGACTGCTGCGAAGTCACGATCGATTCGGCTTCTGTCGCAATTTTCGCCATGACGCGCGCTTTCACCCGAAGTCGTTCGATCCGTCGCGCGTTGGTCTCGCTATTTCTGCACCGCTCGATACAGGTCCCGACAATTCGCAATTGTCGTCCCTGTATCGCAAACGTTTTCGCCAACAATCGAACTCACGATCCTGTTCAAAAAACGCGCGAGGGGGGTTATTTAAAAAACGCGGAATCTGGTGCTTACCAGCGTCGGCGCCGAATTCGTCGCCCCCGGCGGTTTTTCGAAGCAGGAATTTCTTGAGCGCGCTGCTTAGCTGAAACTCCGCGAGTGAAAACGGCTCTGATTACCAAGTGTCACAGGATCGAATTTCCACTCGAGAATGTTGCACTAAAGGTGAGTACAAGGCGTATTTATACTCAGAAATACATAGAAACAACAGATAATCCGAACCTCCGGGAACGCGCTCTTCTAGAATAGTTAATCACAAGTGCGCATAAGCACGCAAGCCCATTGGCACTTCGGATTATGGCGAGATTATGCCTTGTACACCACTGTCGGTGCTGTCAGTGCCGTATAATGTAAATGTACGACTGTTGCTGCTCTTGGTTTTGCTCCTTCCACTTCTGACCCTTCTCTGTTCTTACGCACTGACACTAGTCTTCCGCCGTTCTACGTTCTCGTGTACGTAGACGACCTCGTCTTTGCTACTGCTGACACTGAGGCACTCGCCCATGTGAAGTCCGAGCTGCAGAAGAGACACACGTGCACAGACCTGGGTGAGCTGACAAGCTATCTTGGCTTGCGGATCACCCGGGACAGAGCACAGCGCACCATTACCTTGACTCAGTCACACATGGTGCAGCAGGTCCTTCAGCGCTTCGGCTTCACGTACTCCTCGCCACAGTCCACTCCTCTGCCTACCGGTCACTTGCTCTCAGCTCCACCTCCGGACGAGTCCGTAGAGCCGAGTGGCCCGTATCCAGAGCTTGTGGGCTGCCTCATGTACCTGATGACTTGCACACGACCTGACCTCGCATACCCTCTCAGCCTTCTGGCTCGCTACGTGGCTCCCGGCAGGCACCGAAAGGTGCACTGGGATGCTGCGAAGAGGGTGTTGTGATACTTGTGCAGTACATCGGGCATGGGGCTCGTGCTTGGAGGACGGTCTCGAGTTGTCCTCACTGGTCACGCTGACGCCTCCTGGGTTGACGACTTGGCTACGCAGCGGTCGTCACAGGGTTACACCTTCAGTCTTGGCTCCGGTTCTGTCTCTTGGCGGTCTACCCGCTCTTCTTCTGTTCTCAGCTCCAGTTGTGAGGCTGAGATCTACGCTGGAGCCATGGCTGCACAGGAGCTACGCTGGCTCACCTACCTGCTGACAGACTTGGGAGAGCCGCCTCGTTCTCCTCCAGTTCTGTATGTAGACAACAAGGCCATGCTGGCCTTGTGTCGGAAGCACAGACTGGAGCACAGAACGAAGCACATTGCTCTTCGCTACTTCCTTGCTCGTGAGCTGCAGCAGCGTGGTCAGCTGCGCCTTGCTTACGTCGCCTGTCGGGCCAACACCGCTGATATCTTCACCAAGGCACTTCAGCCTTGTGATCATCAGCGCTTTTGTACGATACTAGGTCTTGTGCCTACTTGGCCTCACTTGCTCACTTCTGGACTTTGCTTATACTGTGATCTATATATACCTGCATCTGCATGCTTACCCTTGCTAGGTTGAGATCACTGCCTTGCTTGTTCACCTTGATATATAACTCTGTTTGTGAACTGGCCTTGTGGCCTTGTGCCTGTGCTCAGAATGCGTGGTGACGTTGTGATCCACCCTGAGCTTGTTTTGTTTTTTTTCTTCTCTTGACTGGTCTTGTGACCGTTTCTTGTGTTGGCTATCCCCCACTTCGCCTATGGGGGTGTGTCAAATTATATGTTTAATGTCATCTAGGCTGTAGTGGGTTTAGTCTTAGGGGGTACAGAATTTTGCTCGACACTTCTTTGTATCCCCCTCCTTGCCCTAACCTTTCACACACCTTCATACTATTCTAACATAGAAGTCACAAGTGCGCATAAGCACGCAAGCCCATTGGCACTTTGGATTATGGCGAGATTACGCCTTGTACACCACTGTCGGTGCTGTCGGTGCCGTATAATGTAAATGTCGGTGCCGAAAATACCAAATAAGTGAAATAATCAGAAAGCTCTAGAAAATAGAATAGTAGTCCGATTGAGGTGAAATAAAGTGCAAATGAAAGAGGAAAATAAGGAGAATAAGATGGAGCAAAAATATGGAAATGAGAAATATGTCGAACGTCGGCGTACTCTCACATGGATGGCATGAGTTGGGAAAGTGACAAATGTCAAAGTTGGGGTGCCTATAGAGAGGGGAATTGTGTGGTATGGGGTTTCCTTGGTTGGGGAATCCCTTGGGACCTTCCCTCTCGTCCTCCTCATCCCCTCCTACCTGGTTTAATTGCTACTCTAACTTTCTTGTGGAACTTGTGAGTAAATTGTGATTGAGTTAAGTTTCTATGGCAGCATACCCCCTAGTGCGCCGAATTCATAACTCAAGCTATAATACATATTTTGATACTATTCAAATTGGGAAAGATAGACACGATCAAGGGCTACAACATACTCAAGTTTGAGATTATTCTAAAAGTGCTTGTTTGGTCGACGACGTTTCTTGTGACGACGCCATTTCTGTCAAGAATTATAGTTAACGATTTTGAGATATTTCGTCCTCTAATCTTCATAGACTCCGTCCTTAGTCTCTAACATCATCCACTCTCATCCCCTCTCATCCACTCTCATCCCCTCCCATCCACTCTCATCCCCTCCCATCCCCTCATCCCCTCCCATCCCCTCTCATCCCTTCCCATCTCCTCTTATCCCTTCCCATCCCCTCTCATCCCCTCTCATCCCCTTCCATCGATTCCCGTCCCCCCTCCTGCCGTCTATTCCCCTCTAATTCCCTCTCCTCCCCGTTTATCCTCACTAGTCCCCTCTCCTGCCCTTTATTTTCAGCTCATTCCCTCTCATCCAATCTCATCTCATTTCATCCTCTTGCATCAACTCTGAATTGTCCCATCCCCTTTGCTCCTTTTGCCTCTCCTTTCCTGCCCTCTAATCCCCTCTCATTCCCTATTATCCCCTACATCCTCTCTCATCCCCCTCTCCTGCCATCCCCTCTCATTCCCTATTATCCTCACTCATCCTCTCATCCCCTCTCATCCTCTCTTATCGTCATTCATCCCCTCTCTTGCACTAAATTCCCCTCTCATTCCTCTTATCCCCTATCTTCCTCTCTCATCCCCTCACCTGCCCACCCCTCTCATTCCTTCCTCTCCCCTCTCATCTTCTCTACTCCCCTCTCATCTTCCCTCTTCCCTGCTCCTTGTCAGAATTATATTATTATAACTGCATGTAGTTCTAGCCTTAGTGTAGTTATCCTAACTTCCTGCTTGGTGGTGTACCCCCCTTTCCTACCCTATTTGTACTTCACTCTCTATAGTGAAACCAACGTTTTCTTGTTCTCAACTCTCTCGACACTCCTTGGATAGCTCACACCTTAGCCATGGCTCCTATGATTCCAACATGGTAGTAGGGGGGAGGGGGGGGAGGGAAGGGTGTTGGGGGCGCGGATAATGGAGGGTGAGGGGGTGGCAAGAGGGGTGCGGTTCCTGGGGGTGGCTGACCTACGGAGTGGCAGGAGGGGTTTCTGCAACGCCAGCCACCCACCACCTCCTCCTCTCTCTCTCCCTCCCCCCCCCTTCTCCTCCATTCCACTGCTGCGAGTGCAGCAGTGGGGGGGAGGGGATCTGCAGCACCAGCCCCCCCCCGCCCCCCCCCTTCTCCTCCATCCCCCTGCTGCGGGTGCAGCAGTGGGGGGGAGGGGATCTGCAGCACCAGCCCCCCCCCCCCCCCCCCCCCCCGCCCCCCACTTCTCCTCCATCCCTCTGCTGCGGGTGCAGCAGTGGGGGGAGGGGATCTGCAGCACCAGCCCCCCCCCCCCCCCCCCCCCCCCCCCTTCTCCTCCATCCCCCTGCTGCGGGTGCAGCAGTGGGGGGAGGGTATGGGGGTGGCGGGTGTGAGTGAACTGCTGCCGCCTCTCCTCCTCTCTCTCCCACTGCTGCACATGCTGCTGGGGGGGGGGGGGGGGGGGGGGGGGGGGGTTGGGGGAGATGAGGGACGAAACAGCCACACATCTGCGACTGCCGCCCTCTGCTACCGTGGTACCTCCAGCTGCAGCCCCTGTCGCCACCCTTGTTTGTCTTGACTCTCTACTGCTGTTGAGCGGCAGGTGCTGCCGTTGAGCCCTGCTGTGCCGCCGCCCTTGCCGCCGCACGCTCCTGCTTCTGCTGCTTCTACCTTGGCTGAGGGGTTACTGCAACTGTATCTACCACTATTGCACTGGTTGTCACTGCTCTTGCGTGCTGCTGCTTTGTTCTGCTTGGTGTACCCCTGCAGGTTGTGTCTAGCACTTGGCTCTTCCTGCATGCAGTTAAGGGGGGATGTCATAATTATATTATAATAACTGCATGTAGTTCTAGCCTTAGTGTAGTTATCCTAACTTCCTGCTTGGTGGTGTACCCCCCTTTCCTACCCTATTTGTACTTCACTCTCTATAGTGAAACCAACCTTTTCTTGTTCTCAACTCTCTCGACACTCCTTGGCTAGCTCACACCCTAGCCATGGCTCCTATGATTCCAACACTCCTGGCCTCTATTCCCCTCTCATTCCCTATAATCCCCTTGCATCCTCTCTCACCCCCTCTCCTGCACGTGTTTACCTCATTCTCTCTCATTCTCTCTCATTCACTCTCATTCACTCTCATTCCCTCTCATTCTCTCTCATTATCTCTCATTCACTCTCATTCTATCTCATTCCCTCTCGTTCTCTCTCATTCACTCTCATTCTATCTCATTCCCTCTCATTCTCTCTCATTATCTCTCATTCACTCTCATTCTATCTCATTCCCTCTTGTTATCTCTCATTCTCTCTCATTCTCTCTCATCCTCTTGCATCATCTCTGAACCCTCCCATCCCCATCACTCATTTCCCCTCCCTTCGTTACCCTCTAATCCCTTCGCATTCCCTCTTACCCCCCTTCATCCTCTCACATCCCCTCTCCTGCCCTCCCCTCTCATTCCCTCCTCTCGCCTCTCATCTTCTCTCATCCAATCTCACCCCCTCTCATCCCTCTCATCTTCTCTCGTCCCCTCCCCGGCATTCTATTCCCCTCTCGTTCTCTCTTATCCCCCTTCATCGTCTCTCAACCCCCTCTCCTGCCCTCCCCTCTCATTCTCTCTTATTCTCACTCATCCTCTCTCATCCCCTCTCATTCTCTCTCATCCCCAATCATCCTCTCTCATCCCCTCTCATCCTCTCTCATCCCCAATCATCCCCTCTCATCCGCTCTCATCCCCTCTCATCCCCTCTCATCCCCTCTCATTCCCTCTCATCTTCTTTCGCCCCCGTTCCTGCCCTCTATTCTCCTCTCATTCCTACTAATCCCCCTTCATCCTCTCTCATCCCCTCTCCTGTCCTCTATTCCGCTCTCATTCCCCTTATACTCTAACTTCCTCTCTCATCCCCTCTCCTGTCCTCTATTCCCCTCTCATTCCCCTTATACTCTAACTTCCTCTCTCATCCCCTCACCTGCCCAACCCCCTCATTCTCTCCTCTCCCCTCAATCCCTCTCCTCCCTTTCCATCCTCTCACATCCCCTCGTCCCCTATCATCCCATATATTCCTCCCTCATACCTACACAGTCCCTCTCATCCCCTCTCATTCCCTCTCATTCCCTCTCTTTCCCTCTCATTCCCTCTCTTTCCATCTCTTTCCCTCTCCTCCACTTTCATTCTTATACTGTCACCCTCTTTCAAACTCTTCCATCCTCCCATTTTCATAGTCATCCCTCTCATTCCCTATCTTCCCCGTTGATCCTCCATTGTCCCCTCCCCCTCCCTCTTTTCCCCTCTCATTCCCTCTCATCCCCTTTCATCCTTTCCTGTCCCCTCCCCTGTCCTCTTTTTCCCTCTCAGTCCTTGTCATCCCCTTCAATAGTTTCTCATCCCCTCTCCTGCCATCTTCTCTCCAGTCATTCCCTCTCCTCCCGATTCATCCTTTCTTTTCCCCTCTATTGCCCTCTTAAATCTTGTCATTCCCTCTCATCCCCTTTCAACCTTGTTCCGTCCCTTGCCTTCTTTTCCCCTCTCATTCCCTCTCTTCTCCTTTCATACTTTCTCACCCCCTCTCCTGCCATCTTTTCTCCAGCCATTCCCTCACATCCCTTTCATTCTTTCTCTTCCCCCCTCCTGTTTTCGCCTCCAAGGGCCTCTCATCCTCGCATCTCATCCCATCCTCAACCCGTTCCCCCCGCTTCCCTCTATTCCACACTCATTCCTTGCATCTCATCTCTTTCTCTGCCGTCTCCTTGCTTGCCCTCTAATTAACGCCAGGCGCTATCGTTGCCCCATTATGTACTCTCCCATATGCTCCATTGCACTCTCTATCCGCCTGCACTCATTATCCAACTGAGCTTGTGAAGGTTGAAAGGAACATCATGTTTTCAGAACATTATAGCTTTTACATTTGTGTAGGCTATAGTGGGGTAGCCCATAAGGGGTACAACCCAATTAGGGTTCATACTTGTACCCAACTGTTTGCAAGTTCATCCATTCTTGTTCGTTACTTTCACATGGAATCAGAGCAGGTTACTTGGGCCCACCACCTGCTACGCTGGGAATACCTCCCTAGGCCCGTCGCTCCTAGCCTTCGCGGCCCATCGGCCCCTAGCCCCGCGCCCGGCCTCGTTCCTACCGCCACGCCCGGCCCATACCTAGCCCGCGATCGGCCCGTACCTAGCCCGCGACCGGCCCGTACCTAGCCCGCGCCCGGCCCCGTCTCTCACCCGCGCCCGGCCCGTACCTTGCCCGCGATCGGCCAGTTCCTAGCCCCGCGCCCGGCCCGTCTTTCGCTCGCGCCCGGCCCGTACCTAAATCGCGACCGGCCCGTACCTAGCCCGCGATCGGCCCGTACCTAGCCAGTGCCCGGCCCCGTCTCACGCCCACGCCCGGCCCGTACCTAGCCCGCGATCGGCCCGTACCTAGCCCGCGACCCGCCCGTACCTAGCCCGCGCCCGGCCCCGTCTCTCGCCCGCGCCCGGCCTGTACCTAGCCCGCGACCGGCCCGTATCTAGCCCGCGCCCGGCCCGTACCCACCCTGCGCCCGGCCCCATCTCACGCCCGCGCCCGGCCTGGTCCCTAGCCCCGCGTGGCCCCGTACCCTAGCCAGAGCCCGGCCCCGTACCTAACCCGCGCCCGGCCCGGTCCCTAGCCCCGCCTGGCCCCGTACCGAGCCCAGCGCCCGGCCCCGACCCTAGCCTACGCCCGGCCCCGCCCCTCGCCCAGCGCCCGGCCCCGTCATTCGCCCAGCGCCCGGCCCAATACCTAGCCCCGCCCGGCCCCGTACCTAGCCCAGCGCCCGGCCCCGACCCTAGCCCGCGCCCGGCCCCGCCCCTCGCCCAGCGCCCGGCCCCGTCACTCACCCAGCGCCCAGCCCAGTACCTAGCCCCGCCCGGCCCCGTACCTAGCCCCGCCCGGCCCCGTACCTAGCCCCACCCGGCCCCGTACCTAGCCCCGCCCGGCCCCCTACCTAGCCCCGCCCGGCCCCGTACCAGGCCCAGCGCCCGGCCCCGACCCTAGCCAGCGCCCGGCCCCGCTCCTCGCCCAGCGCCCGGCCCCGACCCTTGCCCAGCGCCCGGCCCCGTACCTAGCCCGACGCCCGGCCCCGTACCTAGCCCGACGCCCGGCCCGGTCCCTAGCCACGCCCGGCCCCACGTAACTAGCCCAACGCCCGGCCCGGTACCTAGCTACAGCTACAACTACTGCTACGGCCCGGTACTGTCACTGCTGCTACTGCTATAGCTGCTACTGCTGCTACTACTGCTATCCTGCGTGCTGCACAGCTATGGCTTCGCTTCGGGTTCTCGCGTTTGATCATGAGGGCAGACCAGTTCAGTTTGACACGTGGCTAGACGACCTGCAGCTGTACCTACTGAGCAATTCTAAGGACAGTGTTTCGCTGTTTGACCTAGCGTCAGGCGCCGCTACTGCCCCTCCCGCCACAGCTGACAGTTCGACGCGCTCACAGTGGCTTACTCGTGACGCTGCTGCCCGCTTAGCCATTCGCAACCACCTGCCATTAGCTAAATGCGCTCACTTTGGATAGCACAGGACAGCGCAGGCACTGTACGACGCTGTAGTCACTCACTACTCCTCCCCTGCCACTGCTGCTCTAGGCCGCCTCCTTCTGCCCTACCTGTTCCCCGAGCTGTCCGCCTTTGCCACAGTCGAGGACCTGGTTTCCCACCTTCGCGCTAGTGACGCTCGCTACCGCGCTGCCGTTCCTGCTGAGTTCCTTGACAGGAACCCGCCCCCGATGTACATCACTCACTACTTCATAGTCACCCGCCTCCCTGACTCTCTTCGCTCTGTCAGGGACCACTTCCTCTCTCTTGACCCCTCCTCCCTCACTGTTGACCTCCTCAAGCAGCATCTCCTCGCAGCTGAGACTAGTGCAGTTGCTGTGGGTGCTGCTCGTGGCACTCCGCGCCCGCCCTTCTTTGAGGGGTGTTCCCCCTCCCCCCTTGCCCCCTCCTACGCCTCTGCTGCTGCTGCAGACGTCTCTGTTGCTGAGGACGTCGGGGCTGCTTCTGCTAGTGCGAAGCGCCGCAGCAGCAAGGGCAAGGGTGGCCGGGGTGGTGGTGGTGGCAGCGGCGGTGGTGGAGGTGGCAGCGGGAGTGGTGGAGGGGGCAGCAGTGGAGGTGGTGGCGGCGGTGGGAGTGGTTGCGGGAGTGGGGGCTCTGGTGGCGGTAGTGGAGGCAGCGGTGGGAGTGGCGGCAGCGGAGGCGGTGGGACTGGTGGCGGTGGGACTGGCGCTCGGCGTGTCGGTTCTGGGGGTGGCCAGCGTCAGCAGCAGCAGCGTCGGAGCGAGACCGTGTCTCCCCAGCAGCTTCGTGAGTGGTTTCTGCGTGGGCCGTCTAGGGGCAGTTGCCCGTATGTCATTTGCACGGGTGACCGTGCTAGTCAGACTTGCGGGCGGCTCCACACTCAGCACCGCTGCTTCTCCCACCTCGACGACGCTTGGCGTGCTGAGTTTGGTGACGACGTCGAACTCCCCCGCTGGGCAGATCTGCTTAAGTCTAGGATTGCTATCTTTGACCTAGACTTTGATGCTATTCTTTCTGCTATGTATGCTTTGTCTGTTAGTGCTGAGGGTGACTGTTACCGGTGTGTGCCGCCTGACCCAGGTATAGCCGCTGCTGCTCTAGGTGCTAGTGAGTCTGGTACTATGCCTGCTGAGGCCTTGCACACCTTCACATTGGACTCAAGCGCCTCGCGCTGTTTCTTTCGTGACAGCACCACCCTCACTCCTCTTCCTGCACCTGTGCCGGTCCGGCTGGCTGACCCCTCCGGGGGACCGGTCGTGGCCCGTTCCTCCACTGTCCTCCCGTGTCCGGCGGTTCCGTCCGGCTCACTCTCGGGTCTTCACCTCCCCTCGTTCTCTACGAACTTGGTGAGTACCGCTGCCCTTCAGGATGCGATGGTCACTACCACCACTCCTGGGGGTCAGCGTGTCAATCTGCACGTGCACACGGACGGGGCGTCACCTGGCTACGTTCACTCGTCAGCCAGGGTCGAGTCTGTACACGCTGGCTACCGAGCCTCCTCAGGTTGCTGCGTCTGCTCACGTGTCCGCGTCAGGTGAGGTAGCCGCCTCTTGCTCGTGTCGCCTCCTGTCGCACTAGACTCTTCTGTGGCACCACCGCCTGGGTCACCCCTCCCTGCCACGTCTTCGTGGCATGCACTCTTGTCTTCTTGTCTCTGGTCTCCCCAGGTCTCTGCCTCCCCTGCCGCCCTCGCCTGCCCCGCCTTGCCTCCCTTGCGTCGAGGGGCGGCAGCGCGCCGCTCCTCACTCCTCCTCGTTTCCCCCGACGACTGCTCCCCTGCAGACACTCCACATGGACGTGTGGGGCGCAGCCCGCGTCAGTGGTCAGAGCTGCGAGCGCTACTTTCTGTTGGTTGTTGACGACTACACGCGGTACACCACGGTCTTCCCCTTGCGCAACAAGGGTCAGGTCGTTGATGTCTTGATCCCTTGGATCCGCACTGTCCGTCTTCAACTCCGCGAGCGCTTCAGCCAGGACCTTCCTATCCTGCGTCTGCACTCTGACAGAGGTGGTGAGTTCTCCTCCAACCTCTTGAGGGAGTTTTGTCGTGGGGAGGGCATTCTCCAGTCGTTCACGCTTCCGGACTCCCCTCAGCAAAATGGGATTGCTGAGTGCCGCATTGGCTTAGTCATGGAGGTCGCTCGTACCTCCATGATCCATGCGGCTGCTCCCCATTTTCTGTGGCCGTTTGCGGTCCAGTACGCTGCGCATCAGCTCAACCTTTGGCCCCGTGTCTCCTTGCCGGAGACCTCGCCCACACTGCGTTGGACGGGGAAGGTTGGTGATGCGTCGGTGTTCCGGGTCTGGGGATCTCGTGCCTTCGTTCGAGACACGTCTTCGGACAAGCTCTCCCCCCGTGCTTTCCCCTGCGTCTTCCTTGGCTTTGTCCTCGACGTGCCTGGCTGGCAGTTTTACCACCCCACCTCGCGCCGTGTCCTCCCGTCTCAGGACGTCACGTTCGACGAGTCGATTCCCTTCTACCGTCTCTTCCCCTACCGCTCTACCCCTCCCCCGCCCCCGCCGCTCTTCCTTGCTCCTGGCCCCCCTCCGGTAGACCCCCTCCCGCCCCAGGGTCTGGCTCCCTCAGGTGTGTCCTAGGTAGACCCTCTCCCTGGTCCTGCGCCTGTTCAGGTAGCTGTCGGCTCAGGTGCTGCTCGAGGTGCTGCGTCTGGGGGTGCTGTGTCTGGGGGTGCGGAGCCTGGGGGTACAGGGTCTGAGGGTGCTGAGACTGGGGGTGCTGAGCCTGGTGGTTTTGGGACTGGGGGTGCTGAACCTGGGGGTGCTGAGCCTGACGGTGTTGAGCCTGGGGGTGCTGCGTCGGAGGGTGCGGAGTCTAGGGGTGCTGAGCCTAAGGGTGCTGCTTCGTCTGGAGGTTCTGCTGGTGCTTCGCCCAGTCTGTCTCTGCAGCAGCTGCGTGAGTGGTTTGTTCGACGCGCACGCCTTCGGAGTGGAGCCACCGGGGCTGGAGGTGCTGGAGCTGCTGGAGCTGGAGGTGCTGGAGTTGCTGCTGCAGCTAGCGATGCTGGAGGTGCTGCGGCCACTGATCCTGGAGGTGCTCGTATCCGGGGTACCGGAGCTGCCGGGACTGGTGGTGTTGAGGGTGCTGGAGTTGTAAGCCCTGGTGCAGGAGGCGCTGGAGCTGCCGGAGCTGGAGTTGGAGGCACTGGAGCTGGAGGCACTAGAGCTGTTGACCCTTGCCCTTGAGGTGCTGGAGGCACTGTG